GTGTGTGTGTGTGTGTGTGTGTGTGTGTGTGTGTGTGTGTGTGTGTGTGTAATGAGGAATGACGGGCAACCTTCAGGTATTCTGCAAGCTCAGCCAAGTCTGCAAATGCTTCCTCGTAACTGGTACCAGTGGAATGTTCCAAAAATCGGCGCCCAGATGGAGCCTGTCCAGCTTCAGGTTGGGGGACAGATCAGGAGCTCACCGACTTCTGCCCCAGCCTGTTGAGGATTCGGAGGGAAGCAAACTTTGCATTTTGGAAGGAGGCCATTTGGGAGGCCAGGAGCGGCACGGTTTCCTTTGGCATCAAGCTCTGACAGGGCTGGCAGGACTGGGATGAATCCTTGGAATTCGCGTCAGGATACAAATGCCCCCAGACTGGCAATGAAGGCTGATTCCACGTTCTTACCCTTCACACTCCCCACATCCTAGTGTAACGGTGCTCCTCACTGTTCCCCAGACTCAGCCTGTCATCTCCAGGCCCTGCTCATTTGCCCAGGCGGTCCTCATGCTGAGAATGCCCTTTCTCCTCATCTCTCCCTTCAAAGACTAGCACAGATGACTGCTTCTCTAGGATGTCATGGTCAGATCTCATCTGGAGGACCTCATCTGTGGGTGCCATCATTGAGGAAGGACATTGATTAGCCAGAGGAGGGCAACCACAGTGGTGAAGAGGTGAGTGCTGGCCTCCTCGTCCCCGTCACAAACTCCCTTCCAATAACCTTACTTCTCCGTGCACCTTCTACAGGTGGAGAAGCAGATTTTGTTGTTTTTGTTTTTGTATCTCCAGTGCTTTAGCATTTACTCTGATGGCCTCAGGGGGTTAAAACCAAGAACAAGGAATGGGTGAAAGCTTCAAGGAGGCACAGGTGGGCTCCACGGCCTAACCCAAGGGCAATGGGCTGGCTGCCTTGGGACATGGGAGGCTCTCCTCATCAAGAGTCTCCAGGCAGGGACCGGTATATGTGACAGCTGGGATTCTCAGTCACTGCTGTCCTTTCCAGCTCTAAAATTCTGCAGAGCCTTCCCTGATCCTCACAACCCCTGCATTCCTAACTGAAAGTTCCCTCTTCATTTTCAAGTTCTCCTATACCACGCTGTCTGGTTTTCCTTTGTACCATGATACTGTTAGATTGTCAGCGCCTTAAGGGCAGGGACTATCTTTTGCCTATTTTTGTATACCTAGTGTTTTAGCACAGCGCCTGGCATGTAATAGGGGCTTAATAAATGTTTACTGACTGATTGATACCTTCCCTCCGTGTGTATATGGGGCATCCTCCCCACCCCCAAACCCCTTGAAGGTAGGGACTTCATTGTTTTTTAATCTTTGTACACTCAGGGCTGAGCTTAGCACCTTGCACACAGTAGGTGCTCAACCAATGGGGATTCAAGTAAAAGGAAGTGGCCTGGAGAGGCCAGGCCTACCTGAGCCGCCTGGATGTTCACATTTCCTTGTCTCAACAGTTTCCCAACCACGTCCATGTCTTCGTCGGTCTCTGCCGAGGCCAGGGGAGTGATCATCACGGCCGTGTACCCGGCCTTGTTCTGGTGGTCCACGTCACACACACCTGCAGGAGGATGGTCAAACCTTGGCAAAGTATTCCAGAGAGTGGGGCCAGTGTGGGCAGACGCCTGCACCCACCCCACCCTCGGGGCTGGGAATTACTAAGGGGGCAATCTCAGCTCACATTTAAGGCCCTCGGCCATCTGGCTGCTACGTACCATCCCAAGCCAAGTTAAGATCATTCTTCTTCCTGCTCTCCCTATTCCAGGCAAACTAGCCTCCTAAGCATCCTTCTCCTGCCTCCCCCAAGCCTGCAATGCACCCCCTGCTCACCTCTGCCTCTTATAATCCCTAGATTTCTTCAAAGCTCAGCTCCAGACTGGCAATGAAGGCTGATTCCATGCTTCTCCACATCATACTCCTAACATCCTAGTTAAATGGTGCTACCAACTGTTCCCCAGACTCAGCCTGTCATCTCCAGGCTCTGCTCATTTGCCCAGGCAGTCCTTGTGCTGAGAATGTCTGCTCTGGAACTTAGCACAGTCCCTGCCACATAGCAGGCATTTACTAAATGTTTGTTGATCAACTGATTGATCCTTGCATTATTTCTTTACTCAGTCAAAACCCCTTTCCCCACCCCAGCAGAGGCACATCTTAAAGGAGACCAAATGAATCAATGCCCCCGAGTTTCAGGTTATAGGGCTCACAGATGGAAGGCAGCTCCAGCCCCGCTTTCTTTGGGCAATGGCCACCAGAGAGGTAGTGGCCACGATGCTATAACCCTTTTGTACTGATCTCCCCAGCACTTAGCACAGTCCTTGGCACACTATAAGCACTTACATAACTATTTTCATTCATTCGTTCATTCTCCTCACTCTAACTCTAGAGGAATTAGGACGCCATCAATTCCAGGTTGGGGGGTAGGAGCTTGGTAAGTGAACTGACCCCCTGACCTTAGTGGATGGTTCAGATTGGGGAGCAGTAGGGCACAGTCACAGGCCAGCTTCATCCAGAGGAAAGTGACCCTCATGCACCTGATTGGCTGGTGGGGGTGGGGAACACCGAAGTAAGATGGAAACATCTGGGTATCAGTGAAAAAGCTGGGAGGGCAACACTGGACCCCCAACAGGGAAGAAAATGAAAAGATAAGTGGAAGGTGGAGGATTGGCCCTCTCAGATCAAAGTCTCGTGACTGGGGGGAGAGAGGAGGAGGGGGACAACAGAGATAAAGTGGAAATGAATTTTAAGGAGATGAAAGATAATGCCAACGCCCCAGGCAAAGGAAAATATGAAATTTCATGAAAAAGGAAGAGTCTTTTAAATGGATGTTGGAACCGTTGAACAAAACCCAGAGACCAGAGACTCCTGAAACGAGCATTTACCTTGGGAAGTACAAAGCCTGTTGTATCATATCATAAATAACATGTAGAACTTTGCACTAAGTGATAACTGGGGCAAGGCAACTGAAGCTTTGTCCAGGGTGCTAAAATTTAGAAGGTATAGTCTCCTAGAATGTTAAAAAGTTGAATTGAGGGTATACTTCATGCTGTTTGCCCTGGCTACAAAAATGACTATTTATGAACCTGCTTACGAATCCATCATTCTGGATTTCCTGGCTACAAGCCAGAAGTCTAGAGAAAGAATAAATAAATGCTGCCAATGTGAGCCTGAGCATCCTGTCTCTGTCACAAGGGCTGTATCACAGCAAAACAGTTCATTCTTTCAAGGAATTTTCTTCTCACTTTCACCGTGATGAAAACCAGACTATGTAGGCAGTATTGCTCATTTGGACTTAGAGACACAATTCTGCTCTTCCTTCCAAATAACATTTCTTGAAATTTGTACTATTTCATGTTGTATGCTTTTCCTGGGGTCTATGGTCTACGAGCAGTCACTGCCCCAAGTCTTCCTAACCAAAAGGCAGAACTCAGGGCTAGCTATAATGTTGGAGAAAGAGGGGAAAAAAGAGCTTGCTTCTCTACCCAATCCCTGAGAGACGCACACACACTACAGAAAAACAAGCCCACTCAGAGTAGAGTTACTAATGAGTATGTTGTAGTAGTAGTAGTAGTAGTAGTAGTGATGGTGGTGGTAGTAGTAGTAGTAGTAGTAGTAGTAGTAGTAGTAGTAGTAGTAGTAGTAGTGATAGTAGTAGTGGTGGGGGTGGGGATCCAAGTAAGAGAGGGAGTGTGAAATCTCCAGATCAGAACTTATCATTTAACTGACTTCAGTTCCATCCTCCAGGTTCATGAGCACTTCTGAAAACAGATGTTAACATGTAGGCAATCAGAAGCGAGGAGCAGAATCCTCTGGGAGCCCCGCCTTCTAGGCTGTACTGTGATATTAAATGAATTGTTTCTAACTGGATGGTTAGTTTACATGAGCTTTTAAGACGTAAGGAGCCTCAGATCTGAGGTCTCTTTCATACCTACGAACATACCTTGCAGTTATATGCATTTTTTCCCCTGGGTGAAGATTTGGTAGAGGATGAGGGACCCTGGGTAACTTAAATGACCCTTTTGGGTCAGTTGCCTTAGGCCAGTAGCAAGGGAAGGAAAATGGGAGGAGGAAGGGGAAAGAAGTCACTTAAATGAACACGGCTGCTGACAGGCACTTCTCAGCAACAAAGAGCGTCCCTCCTCAGGCTATCATTTCACATGATTAAAGGGACTGTTCCCAAAGCCCCCATCCACATAGGTCACAGCCCCTGCAGGCCTACTGGTCTGTGAGAATTGCCATGCACAAAAGAAGAGAATGAAGGGCCTCAAAATCACCTGGGACACATTCTTTAGCCTCTGAGCCCAACAGTGGAGCCTGGAGTTGGCTGGGTTTTTTTCTGTTTAAATGAGAAATCCCCACATAATTTTTAAATGGCTGTTTAATATGGATTCTTTATCTTCATGAAGAAAAATCTGGGAGCAGTAGATATGAGACCTGTACTTTGCCAGGCCAGCCAGTGTGGTTTATGGATAGAGTGACATATATAGAGCCAGGGGACTGGGGTTAACCTCAATTTTCTCCTCTGTAAGATGGGGACAATAATACTCTGAAAGTACTTTTTGTGTATTTTGTGTTTATTCATCTGGGTATGTGTTAGTTCCCTTGATAACTCCTTTAGGGAAGGGACCATTTTGGTTTTGCTTGGCATCACCAGTAGGTAATTAAAACTTATTAAATGACAGGAATTACTATTATTATTATTTCAGAGCGCTCATATAAGGCATGATATACTCTTTGAAAAGCTCTATGAAATTGTAACCATTCATGTACTCATCATAGGATATCATGGGATGCTCTAGTTAACTGAATATTCTGGTTAATGGAAAATGAGTATATCAACTGTACATGGAGGATCAGTTTTCAAGAATAGCTCAAAAATTTCAAGAATAGCTTAAACAGATGTGGAAATCAGACTCAGAGAAATAAATTGACTTGTTCACAGTCCCACAACTGAGCAACCGTAAGAGTTGGGATTTGAACTCATCCCCTGATTCCCAGCCCAGAGCAGTCAGTTTTTAAAAAAACAGACACCCACTTCCACCCCTCCAGTTGGATGCACTGGGTGTTAATGGTTGGCAGGTCCTCTCATAGATAAGGCTACAGAAGGGAGATCATGAGGGAGACCTCTACACGGAAAGGAAAATGGCGGGCAAAGCAGGGGAATGTTCTGACCTGTGTCGAGCAGCAGTTTAACGATGGGGAAGTTGGAGTGGGAAACACTGTAGTGGAGAGCCGTGTTCCCGTTGTCATCTGCTAAGTTGACAAGCAGCTTCAGGAAGTCGGGGTCACTGGGCTGGAACTCACTGAGATAGGCTGCAACGATGGAGGGGCTGGAAGATTTCCGGCTTGAGATGCGGAACCACTCTTGACTGATAGTATTTAAGCTTTGCCTCTGAAACACCAAGATGGTCTGATTACTGGCGCCCAGCTCCGATGACCCCTAGTGTCCTGGCTCAGGTGGGGGATTCTTCGGGTCTGAAGCCAAGTCTGACCCATTAGCTTTGCTGTGGGCCTGCCATTCTCACTGTCTACTTTGAGAGCGACTTTCAAAAGTGTGACTTGTGCTTTGCAGCTAGGTAGAATAGGGGATAGAGCCTGGAGTCAGGAAGACCTGAGTTCAAACCTGGACTCAGACACTCACTAGCTATGTGATCTTGGGCAAGTCACTTAACTGCTATCTGCCTCAGTTTCCTCATCTGTAAAATAGGAAAAATAATGGCACCTACCTCCCAGGGTTGTTATGAGGATAAATTAAATAATAATGTACACAGTGTCTAGCATACAGTAGGAGCTTAATAAATGCTATTATTGTTGTTGCTGTTAGGCTCAAAGGATTCAAAGCTAGAAAATATCTCAGAATTCATTAAATCCAAAACCCTTATGTGACAATGTCAATCTGAAAATGAGGGCACTGGACTCACTGGATTTGGAGTCAAATCACAGCCCGGCTACTTACCACCGGTGTGACCCTGAACTTGACACTTAAAACTCTCCGGGCTTCAGTTTCTACTCCTGTAAAATCAGGGAGGTTGAGGCAGCTTCTGAAGTCCCTGCTAGCTTTAAATCTGTGATCCTCTGCCTGATTCATTAACACTTTCCCCCGTCATCTTAGCCTTAATATTTAAACAATCATATTGAATAATTTTCCCACAGTCACCCAGCTGGCAAGTGGGCTTGACTTCAATCCCATGGCAAAATTCTAGAGCTGGTCACTAAGTGGATGGTTAGCAAGTGGCCAGACAAATTAGGGTAGTCTGGTCAAGTCCATGCGATGGAATACTGTGGTACTGTATGAAATGATGAAAACGATGGTTTCAGAGAAACCTAGGAAGACTTGGATGAACTGATGCAAAGTGAAATGAACACAATCAATAGAAAAACTAATACTATAACAATAACTTTGTAAATATAGCTTAGAAAGACTCAAGAACTCTGATCAATGATTAGGAATCAACCATGATCAACAAATGATGAAGAATGCTACCCACCTCCTGGCAGAGAGCTGAGGAACTCAGCGTGTAGAATGAGCCATACATTTTTGGATGTGGTCAATATGGAGATTTGTTTTACTTGACTATGTTTATTTGTTATGATGGTTTTCTTTTCTTTTTTAATGTGGATGGGGGGAGGAGAAAAATAGATATTTGATAATTAAAAAAATAAAATTAATTATAAAAATTTTTTTAAAAGAGATGGTTGGCAAGCATTTCCACAGCAACTACCCAGAGTCAGTATGGCTTAAGAAAGAGTTGGGCAGATTAACATTATTTCTTTTTCTGACATGGTCACTAAACTGGAAAGTCAAGGGAATGTTGTTGATAGAGTTTACCTGGATTTTGATAAAAGCATTTAAGCAACATCTCTCATGCTATTCTCGTGGAAGAAAAGGAAAGGTGTAGGCTACTTGTGGGTATATTTAGGTAAATACAGATTTGTTAAATGTCCATGGCTAAAGAATAGCTGTTAATGAATGGTTCAACAGAGTCTGTCTTTGACCCAAGGCAGTTTAACATCTTCATCAATGACATGAATAAGGGTAGACATGGTGGGCCTAGCAATGTTGCAGATCACACGAGGCTGGGTCTACACGCCAGTGTGAGGATATTTAAAAAGCCTTGACAAGCTGGAAAATTGGGCTGAATCTAATTAAAAATGAAAACTAATGTCCCCACACCATCTTCACATGTATATGATGGCAGAGTTCTGACTGGACAACAACTGGGCTGAAAGAGATCTAGGTCTTTTCATTGGCGCCCAGAGCCAGAAGAGACGTCAGAGGCCATAAGACCCAACCCTGGTCTTTCACAGATGAGGAAACTAATGAATCCCTAGTTTTCTTCAAACCAAAGCAAAGATGCCACCTTCTACATGAGGCCTTTCTAGGTCTGCCCAGGCGCTAGCGGTCTCTCCTTCCAAATTATTTTGTATTTGATTTTCATATACTTATACAAGCGCATACTATCTCCCCCAATAGAGGCAGTTCTCTGAGAGTATTCGTTTCAATTTTGTCTTTGTATTCAGGGGTGTGCTAGATCCAGTTCAAACTAGTTCACCAAATCCAATTATTGCATATTCAACAAACCAGCAAACACTACAAACTAGGGCTTACTTTTTTATTTTGTTGATTGTCTAGACTTAAGAAAGTGATGGAGAAAATGCTAATAATGCAGATTAAGCCTAAAAGTGTGTTGTGAGTACATGTTTTTCTTGGCAAGCTGGTTGTTAAACATTTATTAGCACACCACTATTTGTATACCAGTGCCTAGCATAGTGCCTACCCCATAGTCAGTGCTTAATAAATGGACTGATCCGCTTTTGTGCCCTGAAATCTAACAGTAAAAACGCCTGAAAAAAATACAGCCATCCTGCAGGGTCCAGGTTAGCCCCATCAACTGTCCCTACTCAGCAATCGAAAGAACCCCCATTATATATCTCAGTGATGATTTTGCAGAGAGGCAGCAATGGGTTGGTCTGTGCTTAAACAATTCTCTAAATCCCCCCGTCTTTCTCACTGACAAAATTCCCCCAAAGCATCTGAAAGCATTTTGTGAGGCCCAGGGTGAGGGGGGTAGGTTTAGAAATGACAGGAGAAGAAATTCCTCCCTGATCCAATTTGGGTCTCACTCGAATAAATGGACCAGATGATCGTGGAGCCTCCAGTGAGCACTAATCTCTATGCATTTATACTGGGAGCCTGCTTGAAACCCAACCCCAAGAGTGGCCCGCACCAGCCGTAGAAGAGCCAGTTGCCGACTCACTGGGAGCAAGAAGATAAAACATACTGGCCAAGTAGCTGCCAACACTGAATCCATCGAGGCATCCATTCTTCCCACTGGCGTAGCCCACGGAGGACAGCAGGCCAGGTTTGAGGAAATGTGTGGAGGCGGATGTCACTGGGGGCCTACGGGTTATAGCTGCTCTCAGAATCAATCTGCTCCTGGCTTTACTCTCAAAAACTTTAAGATGGAAGGGAGGAAGAAAGGAAAGGAGAGCAGGAGGAAAAAAGGAAGGAAGAGAGAGAGGAAGAAAAGAAGAGAGAGAGGAAGGGGAAAAGAGAAGAAGGAAGGAACAAAAGGGAGAGGAGGAAGAAAGGAAGGAAGAGACAGAGAGGAAGAAAAGGGAGGGAGGGAGGAAGAAAGGAAGGAAAAGAGGAAGGGAAAAAGAGAAGCGAGCAAAAAAAGAAGGGAGGGAGGGAGGAAGGAAGGCAGGAAGGTGTAGGAAGGAGGGAGGGAGGGAAGGAAGGAAGACAGGACAGTATAGTACAGTGGCAAGAACACTGGATGTAGAACCAGAGCGTCTGGGTTCTAATCTAGCTTTGTCACTTTCTGTGCAGTAAGATGCATAAAGCACTACGTACGCGTGAGCGATTAGCAATAACAAACAGCTCACGTTTATAAGGCCCCCTAAGATCTGCCAGACGCTTTGCAGACATCTTATTTAAGGCTCACAACAAGCCTCTGGGTACCACTGTTTTCTCCATATGGCAGATGAGGAAGTGAAAGGATTTGTCTAAGGTCACAGTTAGTAGCATCTGATGTTGGATTTGAACCCAGGTCTTCCAAAACCCAGGTCCAATTCTACCTACAATACAGAGCGCAGACACTGAAGACCAGAAAACATGCCTCGTTTCAGAGCTCACCCTCACACAAGGAATTTTCTGATCAACATCCACTCATGCTGTGCTTCAGAAGGCCTGGGCAGCTAGGGGGCGCCACAGTGGATGGATTGCTGGATTTGGGAGTCAGGAAGACCTGAGTTCACATCTGGACTCAGACACTTAATAGCTGTGTTACCCTTAGCCTCTGATTGCCTCAGTTTACCTATTTGTAAAATGGGAATGACAATATCACCCACCTCCCAGGGTTGTTGTGAGAATCAAGTGAAGTAATATGTGTAAAGTGCTTAGCAAAGGCTGGCCAATAGAAGGAGCTTAATAAATGTTTGTTTCTTTCCTTTCGAGTAAGAGTTTTCCTCCTTACAATCACAAGCTCCCTGGGGCAGAGGCTGGACAAAACATGGTGCAGAAAGCTGCATCGGGCTCCTGAGAGCCCTGCGGCAGGGCTCACACCACCCACTCTAGGCTTGGCAGGCTTCTCGGTCAAAGCTGACTGCTTAAACATCCCCACCCTTCTTAGATCCACAGAACAAGAAGGATACCAATTGCCGGTCAGGTGTGGTCCAAACTTCAGGCAGATGTTTGCTCAACAGGTGGCATGCAGACAGAAATTCTTCTGAGGGCTTATATCTAAACAGAAAAGGGAAAAAAATCAATTGATGTCCCCACGTTCTAACCAGCTCTCCAGGCAAACCCAAAATAAGGGATTCACAGAGTCAGAATCCCCAAAGAGCACCAGCTGGAGGGACCTCGCGGGCCGTCCCCGGCGCCCTGGTCTGGGCAAGAATCGCTTGGACTTTTTTTCTGACGAAACAGTCGTACAGGCATGGCACAGAGCTTGGCACAGAGCTGCTGCCTCTGCAATCAGCTCATCCTGCTGTTGGGATCACGCTGATTGTTGGAAAGTTCTTTCCATTGAGCCTAAAGCTCACCCTCTGAAGCTTCCACCCCACTGTTCCAGACCTGCGTCTCTCCAACGTCCACTGAGATTCCTTAAAAACTTTACTCAAGGGGCAGCTAGGTGGCGCAGTGGATAGAGCACAGGCCCTGGATTCAGGAGGACCTGAGTTCAAATCCAGCCTCAGACACATAACACTTACTAGCTGTGTGACCCTGGGCAAGTCACTTAACTCCAATTGCCTAGCCAAAAAAAAAAGACAAAAGAAAAAAAAGAAAAGAAAAACTTAACTCAAGCGCCATCTGCTCCATGAGACCTTCCCTGGTTCCCCCAGCTGCTAATGCCTCTCCCCACCACATACAAAAAGACCTGCCTTGCGGCCACTTTCTGTATACTATACATGTATACGTGGTCAATAGAATGTAAGCTCTTTGAGGGCAGGGACTGTTTCCACTTTGTTGTTGTTGTTGTGTCTTAAACTCCCAGGAAGATGTCAGGTACCTAGAAGGAGCGCATTAAACATTTCTTGAAAAGCCAATTGCTCCTAGTTCTGCCCAATACATCAAAAGACTCCAGGTTTAGTCAATATGCCTCCTTGACACTATAGTTCTAGGTCTTTCTGATGCTAGAACACAAACATGGGGAACTTCCTAGAACCTAGAAATCTGGTTTTTCCACAAAGAGGACATGTCTGGCTTAGTTCCCAAGCTCTCCTGGAAATAAAGCCAAATACACTATTGTCCTCGATCTAATACTGCCAGAGTGGAGAGGAGGGTCTCGGAGCTACTGCAGCCACGGGCTGAGTGGTAACATGGGATGTGGAGTGGAAAGACGTTCCTCTTGGTTGGTATAATCCCAAGAACCCAAGCCCTGTGCAAACAATTTTCTCCAACTTAGTCTTCCTTGAAGGGCAAAGAAACTGATAATAGATTTAATAAAATGACAATCTACCATTAAACCATTGAGTCCGCCATGATATTGTACCAAGCCTGCACTGTTACTAGACCATTGTGTGGTTTATAATACAAGTTATTGTGTACCAGTCAGATGGAGTGCTTGGCTCACTCAACACCTTATCACAATCATTCTTCTGAGAGAAGACAGCCTCCAGTTTTTCAGAAGCCACTTGCCAACTGGACATCACTCATTATTCGTGATTCCTAGTCCAGAGAGCTAAGTGCCAAATTCACCCCGACCTAGGTAGGTGCCCGAGACAACTGAGACAGCCTCTTCAAGCCTCAGTTGCCATATCTGGAAAATAATAGATATTGGAATAACATATTCCAATAATAATTGGAATAATAGGTAATGGAAAATAATAGCTGGATAATAATATTTGTACTAAAGAAGCCTATAGAGTTGTTTTGTAGAACGCGCTTGGAAATGTTTACTTCTAGTACAAAATGAGAGTTCTTAGAATGGAGAGAAAAAGCAACACAGTAGAATGCAAGAGTTCTTTAACCTGGGGTCACTGAACTTGTTTGTAAAAGTATTTGGATAACTGTATTTCAATAGAATACATTTCCTTTGTGATCCTATGTAATTTTATGCATTTAAAACATGATTCTGAGAAGGAGCCCACGGGCTTCACCAGACTGCCCAAGGGGGTTACAAAAATGGGAAAATCTGATCAACCCCTGCCCAGAATATTGTTTTTACATTAATAAAATCAAGTGTAAGAATGAGATTACAAAGGGAAATAATTATATTTAAATAGTATGAAAATAGAATAATAATAGCTAATTACATAGCACCTACTATTTGCTAGACATATGCTGAGCACTTTACAAATATTATCTCTCTGGATCCTCACAACTACCCTAACAGGTGGGGGCTGCCATTATCCTCACTTACCCTAATTATCACCCGTTCTTAAAGATCAGGCTTAGGGGATCGGACCTTGGTGAGGGCAGAAAATACCTTTCAGACTTGTGATGAGTACCAGCTGCAGCAACTTCTCCCCCACTGGGGCTGCTCTCTGGGCCCATGCTCCTGGCACTCTCCTCTGTGCCCAGGGCCATCTGCTGGCTTCGCTCTGCAGCTCTGCCCAGCTTGTGTTCAGGGCCAACCCCCTTCCTGTCTGCTTCACTGTCAGAACAGCCCTCCGAGGCGCTGTCTTCGCCGCTGGTCTCTTCACTGGAGGTTGTCTCATAGCTGAAGAAGGAGAGCAAATGTCATTGGCTATGACCTTCCTTCTAAGGCTAAACAGAAAGTCAAAATCTGCAGTAGGGCATTCATGCATTATTTAGCTAGGCAGGAGCCTGGCATCAGTTCAGTTGATCAGTTCACAAACATTTATTAAACACTTACCACATGCCAGGCACTGTGTTAAGTGCTGGGCATACACAAAAAAGCAAAAATATGGTTCCTGCCCTCAAGGAGCTCCCATTCTAATGGGGGAGTCAACATGCCAACCACTACGTAAAAACAAGATGTAGACAGTGTAAATGAGGGGCAGTCTCAGAGGGAAGACATGGGCAGTGGGGAGGAGGTAGGTGGGAAAGAATGGCTAAAGAAGGGGGATTTGAGCTGAGTCATCTAGGAAGCCAGGGAATCCAGGAGGTAAGACAAGGAGGGCGAGCACTCCAGTTTGGACCAGTCCACGTAAGAAGCTTCTCAATTCAGAGGCCACTGGAGACAATGAGTAATGAGGCAAGCTCTCCCCAGATGCAACAAAAGAAGCAGCCCATCACCCAGTAACCCAATAAATCAGGATGCTTGGGACAGGTAACCCAATCCTGACAAAAGCCACCAATTTGGGAAGTCAGATACTCATTCCAGAAATGTCAAAATCACCAATTCATTTTCCCCCCACTAATGTTCTCTGAATTATCTGTCAAAATCCTTCCTTGAATTCCCTGGACCCAGCCCTTCCCTGACCCAATTTGTTCATGATGTAGCATAAATCTCACTTAGAATGAGGCTTTGTGTTCAGACTCGGGGAGATGGATCTGGAAGGAAGTGATCTCTTCTCAATAGTTACGTCAACGTGAGGAGAGTTTGTACAGAGGGGCAAGGGAAAGTTTTCAGCCTCTAAGACAGAGCTTCTTAACCTAGGGTCCCTAGACCTTCCTCCATAAAAGGTCTGTGGATAGATTTATGGAGGTTCATAAGCTTGGACAGGAAAAATACATCTTTATTCTCAGTAACTTCTGCATGAAATTTAGCATTACAAATTTATTTTAAAACAACATGATTCTGAAATGGCATTCACAGGCTTCCCCTGACAGCCAAAGGGTTCCATGATACAATAAAAGTTGAAGAATCCCTGGTGGGTAGGGAAAAGAATTTTAGGGTTGTCTCTCAGTAGCTATGTCCAACAGCCCCAGATATTGACATATGGAGAAACTAAAGCATGTGACTAAGAGAGAGATGGAGGCCATGCCATGTAAGCATTCAATAAAAGAACTGCCAATGATGAGACTGGAGAAAAGAAGGCTAAGGGAGGGCTGGATTGCAGTCTTCCAATAATTAAAAAATTGCCCCATGGAAGTGAGATTAGATTTAAATAAATCAACAAGGGTTGAAAATCCCTTAAAAATTCCTTAACAGTGAGAGCTGAACCAGAATGAAGCAGGCTGTTTCAGGAAGTGATGGGCTCCCCATCTTTGGAAGTCTCAAGAAGAGTATTGATAGCTACTTTCCAGGGACATTTTCAATGGAATTCTTGGTCAAGTAAAGGCTATGGACACATTTGGGGAAGGACATTGATAACCTGGAGGATATATAGAGGAAGGTGACTAGGACGTGGTTAGGGGCTTTGAAATCATACCACATGAGGATCAACTGAAGTAACCAGGGAGGTTTAGCCCAAAGGAGAAAAGGCTGGGGAGGGGGATGTTGGGGAGTGTACCTGATTCCCTGCTACCTGTCTTCAGACTGTCAGGTTCTGATGAAGAAAAGGAATTAGACTTGTTATGGCAACTTGGGGTGGCAGAAAGAGTCCATAGGACCTTGACTCACAATATTAGACCTGCTTTATAATCTGTGTGACCATGGGCAAATCACCTAAACTCTCTCTGAGACTCAGATTCTCAATTCTGATTCCTTTACACCATTGAAAAACATTTAAGATTTGGGAATTTAACTAGAAAATGTCCCTTCCAACTCTTATCCTATGCTTGCCCCCACACGGTAGGACTAGAAGCAATGGGTAGAAATTACAGAGAGGCAGATTTTGGCTCAATGGCTTATGAAGAAGGACTTTTCAACAGGAGAGGTTACTGACCATTTAAAGCTTTTTTTGAGGTGCTACCTGTATAAGTTAACACCTGTTCTGAGTTTTTACAACAAAAAGAGGACCGAGATTATTAAAATGAAGATACTCCATAACGTGACACAGTCAACAGACAGTGATCACAAGGGCACTCTGGAAGCAGTGTGAATCCTCACACAGCAGAATAATGAAGGGGACTTTGGGATCACTTATTGAACACTTGGAGAATTCCCAAAGGGAGAGTCCTGAACATTTATGGCATGGGGAATGGCTTCAGAGTTTAATGAGAAAAGAAAGAAGATCGCTGATCTGGAGCCAGAGGGGACCTTAAAAATTAACTAGTTCAACCCCTTCATTTTTCCTTGCAGAGGAGGAAACTGAAGACCAAAGAAATCAAGTGACTTGTCCATGGTCACATATCCAAGCTGGGCAAGTGAGGTTATTGTATCACAGGATTATGGATTTAGAGCTGGAAGGTTATCAAATCTGACATTTTACAGTTGAGGAAACTGAGGCGGCCCAAGAGGGGTTAAGTGTCTTATTCAAATTCACACAGGTAGTTCAGAGCCTAAATCTGGACCAAGGTCCTCTTGCTCCAAAGCCAGTACTCTTTTCACTGAATCAAAGTTACTAAGAAATAACCCTACAGTCTGTCTCCCCATTCACTTGCAAGAGGGCAAAAACTTTGCATTTCCTGCTCTGTACAGATGCTTCTCAGAACTCTGCCCTCTGTAGAAGATTGAAAAAGAGGAAGCAGAGTCAACTGAGGAAAGCCTAAGTGAGATGACCTCTGGCAAGAGAAATTGGCAACCAGAAGACAAAAGGGGAGGGCATAAATGGCCCTGGCTTGCTTGGTTGGAAGTTCATTGGCAAGGGAAGGAGGATGACAGAATCTCTAAAGAAAAGACTGCTAAGAGCAGCCTCTTGAATTGAAAACTATACAAGAGCCTGACCAGAGAAGACCCAAACAGACTTTTCCAGAACCTTAACAGGGCATGAAGCAGGAGCCAGCTGTCTGTCAGTTCTCATCATGGCCATGAGACCACTGACTGTTATGAGAAGGGCCTGCAAAGTTAATCTTTGGTCACAACGGTTGGAAGAAAGCCCCAGGCTCATTAAATCTGCTACACAGAAAGCAGCCTGGCATAGTGGACAGAGTCACCTCAGTTCTCTTCTCAATTCTCTAACACTACAATTGCAGAGAAGGGACCGATCTGCTTTGACACACGGAGCTTCCTCACCTGGGAGCTCTCTACATGGACAAAATCATAATTGCAATTGCCAGTACCCTCTCCAGTGCAGGGTGTCCCAAAAGTCCCAGTGCAGTTTAAAGCTTTAATCAGTGTAGATAGCAAGCCTGACAAATTAGAAGATGATACAAAGTTGGGAGGGGTAGCTAAGCCACTGAATGACAGAGTCAGTATCCAAAAACCTTCTCAGGTTGAATGACAAGAGTCAGTATCCAAAAACCTTCTCAGGTTAGAACACTGGGCTCAATCAAAAAAGATGACAATAACAGAAGGAGAGTAGCAGAGTGGAGAACGGATTACAGCATGTGGAGATTGGGGGCGGGGGGTCAATATAACTGTGGCATAGAATTGTGATGCAATACTACTGTGCTGTAAGAAATGACAAGTGGGATGTTTCAGAAAAACCTGGGAAGACTAATATGAACTGATGTAAAGTGAAGTGAGCAGAACCAGGAGAACATTGTACACAGTAACAGCAACATTGTAATGATGATCAACTGTGAAACACTTGGCTACTCAGATCAATACAATAAGCCAAGGTAATCCCAAAGGGCTCATGATGAAAAATGCTCTCTACCTCCAGAGAGAGAACTGCTGAACTCTGAGTGAAAATGGAAGCATGCTTTTTCACTTTCTTTAATTTTCTTGTTCTATTTTTTTTCAACATGGCTAAGAAGGAAATATGTTTTGCATGATTTCACATGTGTAATCAATATTATACAGCTTGACCTCAATAAGTGGGAGAGGGTCTAGAGGGAGGGAGAGAATTTAGAACTCAATATTTTTTAAAATCAATGTTAAAAATAAATTAGATATATGTGTATATATATATATGAACCCTATTTTACAGATGAACTATATGTATATATGTGTGTGTATATATATATATATATATATCATAGATGTGTGTGTGTATGCACATACACATGCACACACACATATATAAAAAAGAGGCTATTGTAATAGTCCAGGGGAAAGGAGATGAAGGTCTCAATGACAGTCAAGACTATTTGAACAGAAAGAGATCTCAGGCAACCACATCATAGGCACCAGTCATATCAGACCCTCTTTAATTTTCCTCCCTCCATTTTCAGCTCTCCATATGTTGCTGTTCATGTAGCCGGCTCTCATTAAATACCTCCACCAATAAAGGGGTTGACTAATAAGTATGCTGAGGGCAGAGTTGCTGTTGACCTTTGTGGTCCCACAATCTGCTTTGGGGTCTTGGGTACAGGGGCTTAGTAAACATTCATTGAAACAAATGAAATATAACCCTATCTGGCACATCTGTAAAAGGAGGGTGCCTTGGAGTCACTGATTTCACACTTTCTGTGGATTACATCCCCCATGATGCTTAGGGGGATCCAGAGAGCTAGTTTAGCTCATTGGGAAAGCATCCTAAATATCAAATCCAATTCTGGCCTGAGGCTTCTGGGCAGGGTTAGGTTTCAAAGGGGCCAGGAGCAGGGGTAGCTAAGTGGTGCGGTAGATAGAGCACCGGCCCTGGATTCAGGAGGACCTGAGTTCAAATTCGGCCTCAGACACATAACACTTACTAGCTGTGTGACCCTGGGCAAGTCACTTAACCCCACTGCCTAACCAAAGAAAAAAAAAAAGTAAAAACAAAGGGGCCAGGAGGAAAAGGCAGAAGATTATACCCTTGTGGACCAGTGAATTTGGGGCAGCAAAAATGCAGTGTTGCATTCAGGCTACAGAAATCTTTCTTTCAATTGGCATATGGTCAGGAGAAGTTACCCAGCTCATTTACCTCCAGGTTATCACTGCCTTTACAATGTGGTGCCCAGAACTGAACCTCATATTCCAGATGGGGTCTGCAGGACTACCACATCTCTGGCCCTGGACAGATGCCTCTTACTACAGCTTAAAATGGTACTAGCTCTTTGGGGATGCTGTATCACAGCCTTTTTCATCTTGAGCTTGCAGTCCACTAATAACCCAAGATCTTTTTTCTTCAGGCTGCTGGGATGCCAAACTCATAAAAACCCAGGAGGCAGGTTTATTAAGTGTTTTATAAGATTAAACCATGGGAAAATGAAAGAAAAAAAGCAGGTTTCCCCCTTCATCCCCCACTGGAAAGAGATGGAGCTAACGTTAGACACTGGAAGGCAGTCTGACCTTTATGAACGATGCTTACCCACCGTTAACCCCAACAAACTGAAGGTTCTTTTTGGTCCCATTCCCTCCAGCACGGAAGCCATAGTCTCGCTTTTTCATGATGGATTTAAGGCTTGTCGATGGGGAGATCCCTAGGCAGACACAACAGTGGAGGTTAGGAGCAGTCATCGAGAAGGGAAATCAAAGTGCAGACATGGGAAGGCCTGGGACTTTGGGAATGGGTGTGGCCTATTAGCACAGGCACATTTGGACCCAACGTAGAGCACTGAAGGCCAGGAGCAGGTCAGTGCGTTCACCACAACTGGGTCTTACAAAGTTGTCTGTGCTGCTAAGAGGCTACCTGCCCAGGGCTGCAAAGTCAGTACGTCAGTGCGTGACAGTGTGATTCGAACTCAGGGCTTCCAGATTCCGAGGTCGGCTCTGCCTACTGGGCCACATTGCTTCTCATCCCGAAGTTAGCTACCCTACTTTGAAAAGCCTCTAAAAGCCTTGAGACTTTAACAAAAAATAATAGATGTTCTAGTTCACATTAATATGGTGCCTATAGTTTAAAAGGCCCCCTCTCATCCATTATCTCATGACCTTACAGGTCACATCACCAAGTAAGCAGATCAGGGTTTTTTGGTTAGTTGGTTTTAATTAGAGAGACAGCATAGTACCTAGGGGCTCTGGAGTCTGAGGACCCAGGTTCAAATCCTACCACCTTACCACTCAACATCTCTGGGCCTCAGTTTCCTCATCTGTAGAATGAGGGAGCCAGACTGGATCTCTCATCTTGTGGCCCTCTCCAAACCTTGAACAGGATGTTAGGGGCTCTCTGGTGGTGTGAGGGAGGAGAAGCCAGATCTCTTAGGACCCTTTTCCAGCTCAAAACCTATGAACCCCATTTTACAGATGAGGCAACTAAGGCTCAGAGAAGGTCACAGGTACACAGATGTAAAGGCAGATACAGCTGCGCTCACAGTCACATGACTGATGAGTCCAGATTACAGCATGAGAGCGGGAAGGGACCTCAAAGGTCCGTTCAATCCTCTCATTTTATAGACGAGGAAATCGATAAGCTGGTGACTCAGCTAAGGTCACACCGGCATTAGGTAGCAGAGCCAAGACTTGCAGGAAGGCCCTGACTTCAGATCCTCCCTCCTTGTAAGTCAAGGCTCTGCCCACTAGCCCGCCCTGCTCTCCCTCCCTCAGACCCATGCTTACAGGCAAAGGGGAGGATGGTCTCTGAGTCCTCCTTTCTCTGCTCAGACGACCGGAGACCAGGTAGACTGGGGCCTGTGGCAGCCGCCGGAGCTCTGAGCCCTCCCCGCCTGACCCCTCCGTCAAACAAAGTCTGGTTCTACTTATCCAAAAATGCAAAGGGGTGCAATCGGTTACAGCAGAGTGCGCCTTCATGCCAATAGGCAGCTCTCCAAATGTGGGCCAGACCTCATGTCTACTCTCTGTCTGTTCACCTCTTTCTCCCTCTTCGTTTCCTAACCCCCCCTTCTCTTTCTCCCGTCTTACTCATCTTTGTTACTCTTTCCTCTTTCCCTCCCTCCCTTCTCTCCTCCTCTTCTCTCCTCTTCTCTCTCCCCTTCCCTCCTTTTTCTCTTTCCCTTTCTCTTTCCTCCCTCCCTTCTTTCTCTCTCTCTCCCCTTCCCATCTCTTTCCCCTTTCCTCCTTTCCTCTTCTCTCCCTCCTTCCTCCTCTCTCTCCTTCTTCCTCTTCTCTCTCTTCTCCCCTCTTTCCCTCTCCCTTCCTCCCTCACACATACACTTTATTTAGTTATATAAGTTATCAAAATAGTAATGCCCTAATGTGACACAAAGGGGGTGGGTGGGGTGGGTGAATATTGGTGAGAAGGGAGGAGACGGTACCCCCAGCAGACGCCACAGGGAAATCTATAGTGTGAGGCCCACGACCTCACAGGAACCTGAATGCTGGCTTGAGAGTCAGAAGAGCTGGGTTCAAATCCCACCACTATTACCATTTGTATCACCTGGGGCAGACTACTTCAGATCTTTAAGACTTGTGGCCCCTAAAGTCCTCCCTTCCAGCTCTGTCCATAACCCACTGACCTGTGATGGTCAGTAAAAGTCGAAGCTCAGCTGCCACCGTAACACAGCCCAGGGGGTGGCGCTGTTCAACTAAAGCTCTGGGGACAGAAGCAACTTCAGACACCACATGGCCCCAACCCCCATTTATGGAGGGCACGGAAATGACTTGTGCAAGGTCATATCGACAGGAAGCCAATGGCAGGATTCAAACCCAGGTCTTCTGGTGACTAACTCACTCTCTTTCTACTCTTATCCAAGCCCTGCCGTCCGACTCTGATGGCGAGATGGCTCTGGTCAGGGGATCAGGGCAGGGACACGAAGAGGAGGATTTGAAAACAGAAACCAGGTGGGCTGTGTTCAATCCCGTGTTGCATTTCTGGACAGGTTTTAATATTTTTCATCTAGTCACATGCAATGAATAAATTCCTTGCCCCTGCTTTGGCGCGAAAAAGGAAAATGGTGCCCTCCTCCCTTCTCACCAATATTCACCCACCCCACCTTGCTCCTGCCAGTATTTACCTGGGGGTGGGAGTCTGCTGGGGGTACCTCTCCTCCCTTCTCACCAATATTCACCCACCCCACCCACCCTGCTCCTATCAATATTTACCCGGGGGTGAGCGTCTGCTGGGGGCACCTCTCCTCCCTTCTCACCAATATTCACCCACCCCACCCACCTCGCTCCTGCCAGTATTTACCCAGGGGTGGGCATCTGCTGAGGGTACCCTCTCCTCCCTTCTCACCAATATATACCCACCCCACCCACCCCCTTATGTCAGTATTTACCCGGGGTGGGCATCTGCTGGGGGTACCTCTCCTCCCTTCTCACCAATATTCACCCACCCCACCCAACCCCTTTGTGTCAGTATTTACCCGGGGGTGAGCGTCTGCTGGGGGCACCTCTCCTCCCTTCTCACCAATATTCACCCACCCCACCCACCCCGCTCCTGCCAGTATTTACCCAGGGGTGGGCATCTGCTGAGGGTACCCTCTGCTCCCTTCTCACCAATATATACCCACCCCACCCACCCCCTTTCTGTCAGTATTTAACCAGGGTGGGCATCTGCTGGGGGTATCTCTCTTCCCTTCTCGCCAATATATACCCACCCCACCCACCCCATTGTGTCAGTACTTAACCGGGGTGGGCATCTGCTGAGGGTACCCTCTCCTCCCTTCTCACCAATATATACCCACCCCACCCACCTCGCTCCTGCCAGTATTTACCCGGGGGTGGGGGTCTGCTGGCAGCGCCCTCCTGCTCTGGCGGTGACTGTGCCGAATAGGCAGACAGCAGCAAGTTCAGGGAATTGACGAGCTGGCTCTGAATGGAGCTGAGTTTGGACGCGGGCTGCTTGATGGCGTTGGCCAGCTCGGGGTAACCATGCTCCAGGCAGGTCCACTGCTCGTGAAGGAGCTCCTGAATCTTCTTCACATACTGGCCAATGGTGATGTCCGGAGGGGGGCTTCGCTGCTCTGTGCCTGGAGAGGAGCCGTTGGTACCCAGGCTCGATGGGGAGCCCCCCGCCCCTCCGCCGACAGCAGCCTCGGCGCTCCCCTCATCAGGGCCCCGTTCCTCGATCTTGAGCTCAGTGGAGAGATAGCTGTGGTGGGGGTTGGGGGGGGAGGCATCCGGCTCCCGTGGAAGGAGCTGGAGCGGTGACCCTTGCCCGGGGGTGACTGACGGGCTGGCTTCCACTATGACAGGCAGATTGACCAGGACGCCCTTGTCACATGCCTCGCTGACAGGGTCAGTGTTCACGCAGGCATCGTTATGGGTGTCTTTGGCATTTCTATGGCTGAGCTGGTTTTCCAGCTGAGCTACGGTGCCCACGAGTTTCTGAATGCTTAGCTCTTTGTTCCTCATCTCATCCCCTTGCTGCTGAAGGACCACCCTGACCCTCTCTAGCTCCTCCGTTCTCTTAGACAGTTCTCCTTCCAGGACGACAAGCCGCTGCTGGAGGGCAGACACACGACGGGCTCCCACGGCGTCTGAGCGCCAAGGCTCAAGACCTAAGCTCTCTTCGGTCACCCTGATCCCAATACTTCTGACATCCATTTCCACGGGAGGCGGAGGTGGGATTTCACTGATGTTCAGTTCTATTTCAGGGGGGAATTCATTTTCTGGGATGGGAGACGGAAGAGGCGGAGGGCTCGGGGTAGGGGTCCCAGGTGTGGCCGCCGACTCAACTTCTGATACCTTCAGCTCTTCCTCCGTGCTCTCCAAAACCACAGGCAGATCCTGGGGAAAGGAAGACTGGCCCGGGAGACAACTGTGGTTCTGCAGCTCCTCTCCCTGGTCCCGATGCTCAGGCCTGTCCTGGATGAGGTCAGGAACTACCGGCACCAGGCCTGCCAGCTCCTTCACCGGAGGCTGAGTGGATGCTCGTGGGCTGGAGCCGTGGGGATCTGAAAATCCCTCCGCGGGGCCAAAGGCACCGTCCGAGAAACCACCCTCGTCCGGGGGCTGCAGGAGGGGAGGGGGCTCGGGGAGGGTGGAACCGAGGCTCAGCTCGTCCGAGAACTTGTGCTGCAGCAGGGTCGCTGGCATGCTGGAAGCCCTCAGCAGCTGGGGCCGCCCTCTCCCGCCATCGAGCTCAGCCTCCGAAGGCGGGGTGGCCTCCACTTGGCGGATGGTCTCGGCCAGTAGCACTCTCTTCCTGTAGCTGATCTCACCGCCGCCAGCCACGGGCTGAGTGGAATCACCAGGGGCTTCCTCTGACCCCTTTGTGGACAGGCCCGAGAACGAAGAGGTCCAGGTCTGGTGGGGTGGGGCTGCGTGGGGCCTGGCGCCGCTGTCGGGGAGACTGAAGTTCCGAGGCAGGGTACTGAATTTGGGCTGCTTGGCCTTCCTGCGGATGTGAATCCTCTTCATGGTATTCCCTTTCTCGATGTCATCCACATACTTCAGGAAGTCCAGATCTAAGTGGAAACCATACGGCGTCTCCACCGAGTACGGGTGGCTTTTCGGAGGCTCTTTTTCTCCATCCCCTTGGGATGATGGTTGGTCTCTGGCTGGAAAAAAAGAACACACACACACACACACAGTTATTTATTTTTAAATCCAAAGAGTTACAGACCAAGAGGTGTAATCCTACCTCCCGACACTATCTTGTGTCTCCTTCAAAACTCGCCAGCATCTAAAACATGCTGAAATGCTTATGGTCTTTTTGGCTTCCTGGAGACGCTGCCTTATTAAATCAATTTATACTTAGGCAGAATCTGCAAGGACGGGGGAGAGGGAATAGCTCCCCATTTGCAGTATATCACCGGAAAGGCCACAGAGGTATCTGCCTGGAGATAAGCCACAGAGAAGCAAGAAAACTGTCTCGTTTTGCTGCCGGGCTTGACTCATGTAACTGCCGTGCGCAGATAGCCCAGAATTTGCCAAACTGGGCCACTTAATTGGCAATTATGCAAATGGGAGGTTTCAAAGGTTGAGCCACAAATTTGTCTGAGCATCCAAAAAAATAAAGCCCTGCATTAGTCAAATAAAGCCCAGCTAATCTCGCTGAGCCCTGAGATTTCAGTGATCTATAATGTTATGGTCTGGGCTTTCTTCAGTGGCTAAGAGCACAAGAGAGAACTAACCAGACTGAGGAACAGCCCCTACTTACTCCCCCTTCTTTTTTCTCCAGACCCCTTCCGATACCTCCAATACCATAAAATGTGGCCAAAGTGCAACTCTGCAGTGGTAGAGGGAGAATCCTCACTGGGAGCTTCCTTCACTAATACAATCACAGGCCATATTTCATGATTAAATATATGATTAAAGTAGCTGGTGATGGAGAGAAGAGCCTTAGTGAGGTCTTTGTGAGCTTCTATGGCTAAAAAAAAATCGCCGCCTGGCGGCCAACCGTCTCTGGCCACGGGGCTCTTGGGACTCCACTGGGCTTATCCTGAGATGACCGTCCTCTGCTAGCACATAGCGATTCTCTCCAGCCAGACAGGGCCTGGCATCGGCTCTGCTGGTATAGGTGCCAGGAAGGAACAGTAGCTTGGACACGTCTACTAGCATTAGTTGTTTTGGTTGTTTGTTTGTTTGTTTGTTTTGGCATGAGGCAATCAGGGTTAAGTGACTTGACCAGAGTCACACAGCTAGTAAGTGTTATGTGTCTGAGGCTGGATTTGAACTCAGGTCCTCCTGATTCCAGGGCCGGTGCTCTATCCACTGCGCCACCTAGCCACCCCCAGTTGTTTTTTTTTAAAGGAGTGATAACATAAACATGTATATTAATTAATGATGATACCAGTTATTTTATAGAAGGCTGAGACACAGTGTGACATAATGGATCCTGCTCTGACAAATACTGGATATTTGACCCTGGAGAAGGCACTAACTTCAGAGGGCGTCAGGCCACGCTCTAAGACCCCAAACTGCAGGGCATTTGCCCATCTGCATGGCCGCAGGACAGCACCTCACTCCAAAGTAATTACAGATCAAATCCAAAAAACACATTCTCGTCCAGCCATGACATAGCTTGACGTGGGCCAGTTGACTTCTCTCTGGTCCCCAGCCAGAGGCTGTCCATCCTGAGCCCCAGGTGGCCACCTTGAAAACAGGTGTTGTTTGAAAAAAGGCAGGACCCCTCAAGTACAAAGAATTCAGTGCTCACTCACCATCACCTGAACAGGAAAACTGGCCTGCAGTGCGTGTCCTGTGGAGGATGGGCTCGGGGGCCACGTTCCTGCCTTCGCTTTCAAAAATCTCATGACAATAGACTAATGTGGTCTTTTCTACCGTATCCTTAAGAGAGACAAATCCTCTACAACTTGAAATCTTTGAGAGCTTCTGTGGTCAAAAATAATCAACCAACCGTTCAAGGAGCTTCTCCCACATTAGCTAGGCTGGTCCTGAGGGCGCAGTGTCCAGCACTAGCCCAGGCAGCACGGAAGAGTGGAAACAGGGCTGGGTTGGCAGTTGGGGCCTTGGTTTAAATCCTAGCTTTGCCATTAGCCCCTGTGGGACTTTGCACAAGTGATTTCACCTATCTGGATTTCAGTCTCATAAAATGGGAATTGGATGCAATGACCTTGAACAACCCTCCTGGCCCTATGGCTTCCCCAGGGAGAGTCAAAATAAACTAAAGAGTATTCTTCCATGGATGTAGATCTACAAGCCACCCTTAGGGATCATCTCCTCCAAATCCCTCATTTTATCACTTGTGAAACCGAAGACCAGAGAGATCAAATTCTTGGCCCAAGGTCACCTAACTGAGTCAAACTCAGATCTTTTGACTCTGAATCTAGTCCTTGACAGTGTGCCAGGCCTACCTCCGGCCAGCTCCCTACTTTCATCATCACGCCATACTGTACTCTCGGAGAGCTCACTCTACCCAGAAGTCATGGGATTGACAAACAGAGCCCAAATAAGGAGTCAGAAGTTAGAGAGGACCAGTTTCTGACCCAGATGGCAGAGACTCAACTAAAGGGGAAATGGTGTTATGTATCTCTTACGGCCTCAGTTTGATGAAATGGCCCTGATTACTCCCAAGACCTCGGAGAGAAGGGCAGAAACATGAATATATCTATGATATTAAAAAAAATAAAGAGAGCCAATTCAAAGGCAAATTTACCCATGAGAAAAACGTGGAAAGCAAGAGGCCTTCACTGGAATGAGAAGTCAGAAATATGGGTTTAATATATGCTCTGCCTCTAGGGCATTTTTATTTTATTTTTATTTTCTCGAAAGCAGTCACCCAGCTATGGTATTAGCTCATACTTTCCTAAACCCTTGCTAGAATCCTGAATTCCCACACCCCAAATGAATAATGGGTCTGGTCAGACGTGTTGTAAGGCCTTGTACATATTCAATCCTGATGAAGCATTAATCCCATTGCAATGACCTTCTAATTGGTTTACCAATCTATTACCCACACAGCAGCCAAAGAGATCTTATTCAAACCTAGGCCCAATCATATCACCCTCTTACATGCAGGAGCACATAAACCCTCTGCTTGGTGCTCAAAGACCTTCAGAGCCCAGCCCTTCCCTCTCCTGGTCTCCTTACACATCAGCCCCTCCCCCCAGCCTACAACCCAACCCTACTGGCCTCCCTGCAGTGCAAGGGCAGTGGATGTGGGGCCAAAAGGCCTGGGTTCAAATCCTGACCTTCTGCAAAATGAAGGGCTTGACCTCTGTGGTCTCTCAGCTCTCAAGCTACGACTATGATGGAATCACACTGGGATAGCGGACCTGAAGGGGGATGATGGTAACACAGATTCTGAGGAGGAAATAGCCACAAGGGTAGAAGAGGCCAGACCCAAGAGGCCTTGAATTGGAGGGAGAAGAGGAGGAAGGATTTAGAGATTTACCCAAAACTGATCTAAAGAGCAGACGCTGGAGAGGAAGCAAAAAAAAAAAAAATCAAATTGAAAGTGAATTAAGTCTCTTTCTGGAAGAAGCCGAGAGAGACTGGAACTTTTAATCCCTTGTCCTCATCTGTCCAAAAGGGAAGATGAGAAATTCAAGGAACAGAGGAGAGATGCGGCCTTTCCCCAGGCAGGCCCAGACACCCTCGGAAAACCTGAGGCCGCAGAGCTCAAGAAGCCTGAGACGACTGGACAGATGGAAGGGGATGACCCGGCAATGTTTCAGGGCTGGGCCACAGGTGTGCGGGGCACACTTGAGATACAGTGACCGACTGCCTTTGGAAAATGGCAGAAGAGCAGGCCCGCAGCTGGCCAGGGCTGGAGAAAAGCCATCTGAGATAATGAAAATTATGGGAACTCCTCTCATTTCCTAATCTGGAAGGGGGATAGGCCCTCCTCAGCAGACAGCACCTTAGGGCAGAAGGGGCTCTGTGCGAGGAGCCAGGACAGCCCAGTTTTAACACCACTCACCTACTCAATAACTGGGCAAAGGAGTGCCTTTCCCTCTCTGGGCTACAGCTTCCTCACCTGAAAAATGAAAGGTTTCTGAGATTGAGTCATTTTTCAGCCGTGTCCAACTCTTGGGGACCCCATTTTGGGATTTTCTTGGCAAAGAGACTCAAGTGGTTTGTCATTTCCTTCTCCTGCTCCTTTTATGGATGAGGAAACTGAGGCAAACAGGGTTAAGTGACTTGCCCAGGATCACACATTTGGGGTTTTCTTGGCAAAGATACTAGAGTAGTTTGCCATTTCCTTCTCCAGCTCATTTTACAAATGAGGAAACTGAGGCAATCCGGGTGAAGCGACTTGCCCAGGGTCACACAGCTAGGAAGCGTCTGAGGCCAGATTTGTACTCAGGAAGAGGAGTCTTCCTGACTCCAAGCTCAGTGTTCTATCCAGTGCACCACCTAGCTGCCCCCAAACGAAGGGGTTGGCTTAAATTATTTCTAAGGTTCTTTCTAGCTCTAATAGTCACAAGTTCCTGAGTCAAGACAGAGGACTCTAGCTCCACAGTTGGAAGGGACGTCAAAGGCTATCTATTATAAACCCTTTATTTTACTAATGAGGAAACTGAGGCATAGGACATGACTTGCCCAAGGTCACACGCAGGATCCTAGATCTGAAGGGCAGCTAGATGGCACAGTGGTCAGAGCTCTGGAGTCGGAGGACCCGAGTTCAAATCCGGCCTCAGACGCTTGACACTTACTAGCTGTGTGACCCTGGGCAAGTCACTTAACCCCCAACTGCCTCACCAAAAAGCAAAAAAAAAAAAAGAAAAAAGAAAAAAAAGAAAGAAAGAAAGAAAGAGAGAGGATTGCAGATCTAAAGCTAGAAGGACCTTTGGAGCCTACTTATTCTGCTCATTTTGCAGATGAAGAAACTGAGGCCAAGAGAGACTTATGTGACTGCAGGGGAGAGGCGGGATGTGAACCCAGCTCTTCCTGACTCCAAAGTTATCGCTCCTCCCGCTGTACTAAGCTGCCTGTGAAAACGCTCAGGAAACATGCATTCTCTGAAACGCTCTTAGTCGCGCTTGAAACGTCCATTTTGAATACAGCCAGTACCCGATGATGGAGACTGAGCTGGAGAGCGCTGGTCACCCTGAGATGACCCCACACATTCACCGTAAGCCAGAGAACTTCCAATGGCATGTGAGCACCGTCCTTGAGTTCAACGAGAAAATAACTGCCTACCATCCGTCTTCTCCATCTTCGGGGGCTTCAAAGGGCAGCCTCTCAGTCACTTCGTCGGCTGAATCAACGGGGCGTGGTCACCAAGCTCTGTAAGCAACAAGAGATGAGGCCGATGTCTGGTTATTTGGGTCCTGCTTGGCACTGGGGAAACACAAAAGTGCAGAGAAGTGAGAGGCGGCCAGTCTCCTTGGAAGGCCTACAGGCATTGACCTTGAAGTCCTCCCTTGAGGGACTCCATTCAACTCATCCAACACCCAACCTCCTACCAACGATGCGTCGTGTTGAGCAATGAGAGGGTGCAAAATAAATGAGATGTTCAATTCAATAAGCATTTATTAAGTGCTTACTGTGTGCCTGCCACTGGGGATACAAAGATGAAAATAAAACAGTCCCTGCCCTCAAGGAGCTTACGATCCACTGGGGAGACCCAACGTGCATACATCTAAGTATATGCATAGTACTTGTAAAAAAAAAAAATCAAAGTCATTTCAAAGGGAGAGGGAGTTAAAAATACCTGTAGAAGTAGGGAGATCTGGATTGACCTTGTGTGGGAGATGGCACTTGACTTATGTCTTCAAGGAAGCTGAGGATTTCAAGAGGCGTATTCAAGAAGGGAGGGCAGACAGGAGAGACCACTTGTGCAAAGACATGGGTGCTGCACAACAATTCCTGTACTCATCTCTTATTAATGAGAAATCCTACAGAGATCTAAAAATTCAACATGTTCAAAACAATGTCTTTCCCCCAAACCCAACATTCGTTGAAATTTCTCTGTTACAGTTGATCATCCTTCAACTCAACTCAGCTACAGATTTACCACTTTAGCATCATCCTTGACGCCTCACACTGACCCATCCTCCACACATCTAATCAGTAGTCAAATCTAGTCATTTCTATGTCCACAACACAAATGAATGAATGATAAAAAGGCAGCTGGTGGCTCAGTGGATAGAGCAATATGCCTGGAGTCAGGAAGACCTGAATTCAAATCTGACCTCAGTAGCTTACTAGCTGTGTGACCCTGAGCAAGTCACTTAACCTCTGTTTGCCTCAGTTTCCTTCAACCATAAAATGAGGATAATCATAGCACCTCCCTCCCAGGGTTGCTGTGAGGATCAAATGAGATAATATTTGTAAAAAGCGCTTAGCACTATGTGCCTGGCACATAGTAATCACTTAATAAATGTTTATTCCTTTCCCCATTAATTCAGCACTTACTACTACTTGGCACAATGCCAAGCATGGGTGATATAATAATACAAGAAAGCAAGACAATCCCTGCCCTCAAGGAGCAACCATTCTAATAGTGAAGGAAAATACATAAAGTAAGCCAGAGAAAGGAACAAGGGATATGGCATGGTGACATGGCTTGGAAGTAGCCTTGAAGTGACATGGACAACTAATTCTAGGCCAGACAAGGTGAGAGAGCTCCCCTGTGGGAGCCTAGGGCAGGCCCAGGGGGGTAGAGTCCATGGTTCAGTGGGAGAGGGATGAGGAGGTTTAGAACTGGCCAGGAAGATCTCTCCCATCCCATCTCAGCCCATATTCCCTTCAATAACCAAGAGGTGGTGACCCTATTCCAGGCCCTCGTGTCTAGCCTGGACTACTGCAAAAGCCTTCTGGATGCTTGGTCTCCCTCCGTACTTGAAGCCTCCCACCATTCCAAATCACCTTCCACCCGGCTGCCACCTTGATTCTCCTAGCCCACGTCTGACCTCCTTTCTAGTCTTCTTACTAAACCTTACATGCCCCCTCCCTATCCCCACATAATCTGATCCAGTGACACCAGCCTCCTGGCCTTTCCTCAAACAAGACACTCCATCTGCCAACTCCAGACATTTTCACGTGCTGTCCCCCTACATCCCCTTGTCTAGAATTTTCTCCTTCTTTCAAGTCCCAGCTAAGGACCCACCATCGTCAGGAAGGTAACTCTTGGGCTTTCTCTCTTAGGTTATCTCCAATCTTTAATTGGGTGGCTGCTTCTACAAACTCCATCTAAGAAGGTCGTTCGGGCCAACAAACTCACATTCTTTTCAGAAATGTCTCCACCATGCCACCCTCCCATTTCTTCCCCCGTTAGAATGTAAGCTTCTTGAGGGCAGGGACCATCTTCCTACCTGCATTTAGTATGGTATCTAGCACACAGTAGGCACTTAATAAATGTTTATCAACTGATAATACATGCTTGTTGACTGACTGTTGAATTTAATGATTAGAGGGCTTTTAAAAAACCAAAGAGCAAACATCCAAAAAGCACAGGCTACTGAATTTAAATGTCCATTGCTTTGGAAATGCTATTGGAGGCTGAGAATGATAAGGAGCCTCCAAAGTTTATACTAGCATCCACTTGATTCTACATTGGACTGCTCACAGCCTGAGTGTTTGCATCTGACTCCTGAGAGACCTCATTTCCTCAGGAGTTTATGTCCCAGCCCAAAAAATTTATAGGCATGTGCACAGAATAGCAGCTTTGTTCTCTCCCACGTGGGGATGGTGCAAAGGTGGAATATCATACTGTGTATTTATTACATCCAGAGGGGATTGGGAAGGCCCATTGAGAACCAAAAAGTCACATGCAACCTTGGGCTGCATAAAGTGAGGCCTCTGGGAACAGGGAGGCAATCGGCCAGGGAGGTGATCTGCCCCTCTCAGACCTCATCTGTAGATCCAGGCTTAGTTCTGGGCACCACAGTTTGTGAAGGACATTGATGACATGGAGAGTGGCCACAGAGGGGCCATCAGGACCAGAAAGGGCCTGTACTCCATGTCGAATGCGCCCCCACCTGCCAGTGCCCTCCCTCCCTAGCCAAGATTTCATAACTTGGTATTTTATTCTGCATATACTTGTACATATTCATGGCCTTCTCTGATAGAATGTAAGCTCCTTCAGGGCAGGGATTGTTTCTTTTTTCTTTTTTTGTCTTTGTATCCCTAGCACTCAGTGCTTGCCCAGGCCAGGCTGGGGGTTCCCACTGCCCTCAAGGACCTCAATGCTCCATGGGTCTGATACTGTTCTCTAACAGCTCGGTGTTTCCCCCTTCTCCTCTCACGCCTGATTGTGAGTGTGAGGACGGGGCAGTTTCTTAGGCCTGTCTTGTCTCTGCTGTGGTGCCTAGGATGGTTCTATGCCGATAATTCAGTAACTGAATTACAGGATGCTAATGAGGAGGAAGAGGATGAGGATGATGAAGATTTTATCACAACTGTATTAGGTAGGAATTAGGACAGTCCTGTGATTTTATTGGGACAGGGAACTAACCAGTGAGGAAACGCCTTTTACCCGTGTACCTTCTCTGCAATGTAGAGACTTCCAGAGGGGTTTAGAAAACTGAGAAATTAAGCACCCCCCGCCGGGGTGACCCACCTATTCTCAGGGGCAAGATCTGAACTCTTATCTCATCAAAAGTCAGTCTCTCTCTCTCTCTCTCTCTCTCTCTCTCTCTCTCTCTCTCTCTCTCTCTCTCCCTCCCTCTCTTCTTTCTTCTCTCCCCCCATACTCTCCTTTCCGGAATCTTGAGTATCCTGCATCTTTCTGGGCCTTAATTTCCTCATCTGTAAAATGGGGGAATTGGACGAGATGCTAAGGTCCCTCTCAGGTATGATATTCTGTGATTCTCTGATTTATGATAACCAAACTGGAGTGACCCAAAGGCAACATTCCTATTAACTGGAAAACTCCACCAGTATCAGTAATGATGACTGCTCTCTTTCCACTTTTTTTTTTGTGTGTGGCTAGGCCATGGGGTTAATTGACTTGCCCAGGGTCATACAGCTAATGTGTCAAGTGTCTGAGGCCAGATTTGAACTCAGGTCCTCCTGACTCTGAGGCAGGTGCTCTATCTGCTGCGCCACCTAGCTACCCTGATGACCGCCCTCTTTGTGAGAAAAATGTTTAACCAGGTAAGAAAATAACAAGTCAAATGGACATTTTTTTTTAAAGAGCTAGAAGGCAAGCATCTGCAAAATAGGCAGTGATATTTCAATCAGTTACATGATGGAGACCAAATGACAATCAGTCCTGCAGAGCAAGCAGCCAGTTCTGCTTGGGGTGACTTTTACCTGATAGGATCAAAGCAGAGAAGCCCAACCTTGGAGGCCAGAAGATTTAGGTTATGATTCACACTGTCCTTGAGGCTGAATTCATGTGTCTCAAGCTTTGACCATAAATTTCCCCAAAAGTTCAAATCAATTCCCCATTCTCTTCCCAATCATAAACAACTTCAGTGCAGGTCCCTCTCACCATAGCTCATCCAATAAATTGGCTGTTTATTATTGCAACCGCACACGCACTTGACACATTTACTATCAATGGCTCCCCAGCAGAAGGAGAATTGTTTTAGGAATTTTACTGAACTCGGGTTCTTTCCAACTCTAAAATTCTTGGATCTATGATTTCTGAACCCTAGTGGGCCAAACAGGAGGTGTAAGGGGTGGGAAAGGAAAAGGAAAGGTGATGGACTGCACGGAAAACAGGAGGAGAGGAAAACAAAGACCAGATAAGACAACTGGAAAGATACTGGTTCTGACAAGAAGGAAGGACAAAGTGAAGCCCTCAGCGAGGACACTTTGATTGATCATGGAATGTAGGAATGGGTGGGAAGAAACAATGCTCATGGCATGGTTCCATTGGGAAGGTGGGTGGGGTCAAAAAATCCCTCTAGAATTTGGTGCATGAAAAGAAGATTTTATCTGGAGTCAGGAACTCATAGATTTAGATCTAGAAGGCAACTCAGAATTCAAGTCCAACACCTTCACTTTACAGGAGGCCTGGAGAGGATTCATGACTTACCCAAGATCACACAGGCAGTGTGTGATCAGGATTTGAACCCAGGTTCTGTGACTCCAGGGTCAGTGCCCTTTTGACTACATCATGCTATTTCACAGTCAGAGCTCTTGGTTTAAAATCTCAGTTCTGGGAGACTGGGCCAAGATGGTGGAGTCAAAGGACCCAGGACAGCTCCGTTCCCCCAACAAATGCCCAATGATGCAGTGTCTAGGAAGTCAAAGGAGGAATTATGGGCCTTTCCAGCCCAAGATAATGAATTTGTCCTGTAACCAAATGCCCAGAGCAGGCGCTACAGAAAAGG